TTTAGGGTATAGCTCCAGGAAACTTTAAGTTGAGAGATAATACCTCTGCCTCCCCAGTTTCTTAAAGCAATTCATTTTGTTTTGGTTTCTCACACACCCATGTCCGAGAACCTAATCAGGCAGCAAAACACATCACTTCTGACATATTTGCCAAGTTTTGTGCTGTTTCAAGCATCCTTAGCCCCTTAAAAATGTTCTGCCAAAATTTGAGATGGATCCAATCAACCTGCTAGAAAGACTGTTAAAGTATAAAACATGTTTTCTATAGCAAATTTCAACAGCAAGGCAATTCAAAGTGCTTGATATAAAACACAAAAGCAACATAGGGAAATATAAGAGACAAACCCCCCAGTTAAATAGAAAATAAAACATTTAACACAAAAGTATTTTAGGGAACCTTGTAAAGAGTCAACTGAAGATAAATGCATGGATGGAAGTTTTTCCAGAGCCTGCTGAGCCATAAGCTTATTTATTGTCAGGGACCAAACAGTCAGACAATGAGGAGAACAGGAGTTTCTGTTGAAAAATAGTTTTTTATTCACCCCCCCAAAATACCAAACAATAGAAACCAAAAACATAACAACTAGGTCTATAAAATTGGCCAAACCAATTTACACACAAGGGTAAAACAAAATGGACGACAACTACAACTACTACAAAGTAAAACAGACTAAACCCAAAATCCCCCTCCAACATGGCAGCACATGGTATGGCTTGATTGGCAGGCCACAGGATAAAACAGTCCTCCCCCCTTGGCCACACTTCTCTTCCACCAGGACAGACCTCTCTTTAACATGGTAACAATGATTATTATAACAGAACTGTTTACTTAACTCTAAGTAAACCGTTTATATTACCACTCAAACGGTGTAATCTGTAATTTGAAATCATGAATTGTTGTGTGTGGTGTAGTGGACCTAAATTTATTAGTTATGAATTTTAATAAATTTATGAGAATTGATACCCAATTATGAATTATTATTCATAAAATCAGAATTTCCTCGTAAAGGGCACCACCGGAGTTGTTATAATCCTAGAGTCTCCGGACCTCTAGGTAGTTTTGAATAATTATACAATTATTACTAGTGATCAGTTAGTTAATAATCGCTCAATTATCTTAAATCAGTCAGTCAGTCTCATATCTAAAGGGTCAATTCTCTTGGCAGGAACTATAAATAGGCAACACACACAGCTCTTGATTATATTACAGTGAATTTATTCTCCAACTAAGGTGATAAAAGATGGTTGGATACAGGGAACATAAACATTTGCTGAACAATGAGCCTGGAGGTTCGATTGTGGGAAGCATTCGACTCATACGGCATAGAAGAGCTAATGAAAGTAAACTAATGCTATAGTTTAGGAGTTAAAATGGACATCTGATCACAGGACGTGTGTTAAGTCTTACTGCTTGTCGACAGCCTGCTTTTGGCCTGTTGCACGGGTCCCACTCTAGCTGCCGATCCTGGCTTTTTGCTAGGGATTCTTCGGGGTTCTCCGTGTCTGATTGAAAACGCCTCCTCCGTCTGGCAATTCGGCTGTTTGCAGGTTTCCTTGGTTGTAGCTGGCGAGACCACGTGGCTTGGTCTGACCTCGGTGAAGTTGGCTCGACGAAAAAGGCTTAAAATGGAACTTGGTCGTTCCTGAATTAGTCCAGTGTAACTTAACGGACTCATAACTTTAACAAACAAAAGAAATAAAGAAAATAAAACAAACTGAAGGCAGATCGATGTCTCGGCACTTCAGGTGTGTAGCTTCAGGCGAACAAAGGCCTGTTTGTTTCGCTGGCTGAGTCTGGGCGTGTTGTCTGGCGAGGCACGCCACGCGCGTGCCGAAGCATCCAGGGGCCAGAGTGGAAGAGCGAGAAGAGGGAAGCGTCTAGTGAAGAGTCTAGAGACTCGCGAGCAGGTCGCGTGTCGCTCTTTTGTTGCCTGGGGCGTGGTTCCCCAGGGGGCGTCTCAGGTTTCCCCAGGGACTGCCTTTCCAAACTTAATGTCTAAAGAAAAGAAATCTATTTGCACGTATTATAATCAAATATTTTCCACAATCGAACCTCAATGGTTGAACGGTTGTACTGTTCTAGGTATTTGGTAACAGGAAACAATTGTCACATTATTGGTCAGGATTTTTATACATTTAACCGCATTTCCGACGAGGGCATGTAATACTTATTTCGTCCACTTGGGGGAGCTCAGGTTACATGAGGAAAGCTTGGATTAAATCAAAGATCGTCTCTCCTTAGGAACCGGGGAATATTGTTGATTCATCCTTAAATTCAAGCTGGTGATTAAGAGTATAGTAAAACATTTCTTTGTCATCATTTCTAAAGGGATTTTGTAAGAAAGTATTATGAACAAGCATTGATTACATTAGATGAAGGAGTGTCTTGCTGAAAATAAAAACACTGCACAAGTAACTTCTTTTCAGCACTAATATCAACAACAGATAGCAACAACAGTTAACATAACTGCTCAAATAGAGGTAAACGTATTCAGGCAACTAAAGATTTAATTAACTTAATTAAATGCTTTGAGTATTTTGGAGACTGCAGTCCTTTGTCATCCAAAGTTCAGTGTCTGGAACATGTCACACTTAGGTGAGACAAGGAGTATCCTTTTGATGTGGTAATAAAACAAAGAATAAGGTCAGTTTCCACGGAAACGTGTGTGGTGGGGTAAGTTTTGATAGGCTGTTCAGGGAGATGCCAATGGCTGGCTCGTGTCCCTTTGTCAGTTTAACAGTCAGGCCCCGCGTTATCAGCTTCGGAATCAAAATGGTGCCAGTTTTATGGTCGGGCTAGCACTTAGAGAAAGCAACTTTGACCCCTCCCCATCTTCTCTGGGGAGGAGAAAGGAATTTAGGCGTAGCTCCAAATTTATTCAATATAAAATGCACAAATCCACATCGTTGTTCACTACAGTGGCTAACTGCAAAAAGAACTTAACCTGTGTACTTAAAAAAAAAACATGTTAGACTTGTGTACTGTATTACTATTACCCTGTGTGGCTTGGGCCATCACATTTATATAAGCAATTTTAAAGCTTCCCAGTTTAATGGTCTGCTCTAAACTGCATTTCGTTGCATTTCATAAACAATGACAATAAAACCTGTCTATTAAGTCATTTAATCCTTGATGTATTCTTCAGGTGATAGTAGGCTGACTTGTCTTAATGTGGCTGTTGAAACTCATGCCTGAGTCTATGACTACAAGATTTCTGACTTGGTTTGTGGTTTTTAACATTACCAATTGAAGCTGAGTGCTGACTTTTAATCAGTCTTACTTGGCTCCAAAAACAATAACTTTAGTTATCTTTGTTTAACTGAAGAACATTCTGGCACATCCAGTCATTTGATTTGTTCAATGCAGTTACACAGCAGATCATAGTCCTGTGGTGATATGGTTATGTAAATCTGTTTGTAGTCTGCATAGTTATTGTAACATATATTGTTGTTTTTCTTAACCCGAGCCAGTGGAAGCATGTAGATGTAGAACAGAAGAGGCCCCAGAATGGAGCCTTGGGGAACTCCACAAGTCACTTTTGTGAGCTCAGATGTGTGATTAACTATAGACACAAAATGATCCCTGTCCTTTAAGTACGATTCCAATAATACTAAAACTGAAATTCTGCCACTGTTTGTTTAAGTGGATTTCATTGAAGATGTTAACAAGAGCAGTCGGTCGTATGGTGGGGTCGAAATCCTGACTGGAAGACATCAAAAGAGTTTAGTGCCTAGAAGTTGTCCAGTTTTGTTAAGATTAAGACTCAAGAAATGTTCATATGCATAGTAGGGCTGCCCCCGACTAAAGAATCCGAATCGTCAAGTCCTGCCTATACTCGACTGATAGTCAAATCATGTGTGCTTTTGTGCACAGTGATTGCTAGCGGGGGGGGGCACACGGTAGCACCGCTTTAATCTTGCAGTATCTATTTATTCAACTTACGCTGTAAATTTCCAGCTAAACTGACTTTTTGGCTTTTTGAAGACCATTTTCTCTCTCTCTCGCCTGTCATTCACCGGTCTTGTCTGAGTTTTGCTTGCATGCCGTGCTGCCGACAACTACATGCACGTTGCGGTTCCTCGCGGGTCTATTTCAAGTAGCCGGCTATTTAAAAACGATATAATATTCTTTATGTGGTTCAACAACGGTGATAAATTATCTGAAAGTCCCGTGAGGTGTGGACAACTCGGCACAGCATTGAACCTTCGACGATTGGGGGTCAGCCCTAATGCACAGTAAACTACACCGGATTAGACCATACAGTGAAAATCTTACTTTGTAAGTCTCCCTTACACAAATATTATGTAAATTTAAATTATGTAAATGTGTTAAATAATTTCACATAAAACGGGAGATTGGATATGGGCCTATAATTGCTGATTAGAGACATGTCAGGATTATTCTATTTTAGGAGTGGCTTGAGTGCTTCAGGGCCTGTGGGAACAAAAATCTGAGAGGAGACAAGTTGACAATTTGTAGATGATCTGAGGCCATGCAATTAGAAACATTTTTAAAAAGCCCGTTGGCAGAATATCAAGGCAGGAGGTTGATTTCAGATGTTGTATAGTGTCCTAGAAGTTTTTATAGTTATGGATATGTATCAAATTGTGTCATGCTATTTAAACTGACTTTAAGTGGATACAGTGATACCACATACCCTGTACCTGATTTGAAGGAACTGACAACCTTTCTATTTTCTGGAATTGTGTCGGTGAACAAGGAGGCAAATTCATTGCAGGCCCTGGTAGATAAAAGGCTACTAACACAGGAGGGTTTCATAACCTGTCGATAGTAGCAATCAAGGCAGTGTTTTTTTTTTTTTGGTGATGTCAGAGAAGGACTGCTTTGCATTTCTCGGGTTCTAAATTATACTGTATATGCAAAGTCTTTCTTTATAGATTTTATTGTGAACCTGTAAATTTGTTTTTCACAATCTGTGTCCAGCTTTTCAACATTCTCTTTTTTTTACTTTTCTTTCCATGTGCCATTTTTCCCTGAAGATCTTTTCTAATCAGAGACCACTTTCACCTTAGTGGCTGCAATGGCATATGTAACAATTGTGGGGTAAGTTTGGTTCCAGCAGTGACAAGCTCAGTGACAAGCTCTTTCATTTGGTCTGTAAACTCCAGCTGAGGGGAGGAGGGAAAGGGTGATTGGAGAGGATGGTGATGGGGTTTACTGGGATGAAGGTAAATCCTCACAGGTGGTTGTTGGTGAAGGGGATTAAGAATATTCCTCTTGGCTCTGTTGTCTCATGACTGAACTAGCTGCAGTGGCTGCAACCTATTATTTTGGTGCAATTCTACCTGTCAAAATTATGTCCACAAAAAGTGCTTCTTTTGCCACAGACAGACTCGGTGTTATACAAGGTGTCTAACAAAATCATGGAAAGGATCCCTGACAGAGACTCCTGGTGACACCCTTTGTTTTTAACAAGAAACTGAAGTCTCACTCAAGGACAACTGAAATCTTGAGAGGCGAGTGGTTGCAGGAAGAAGACAGTGTTCTGTTTTGTGAACGACAGTTCATGTGAACAGCGCAATTATGAAAGGTTCAATCATTCTGAAATAAAATAATTGTAGATCATTATCATCCTCATCACGCTATAACCGTGTGAGATGAGGTACAAAGTTTAATTTCCCTCTACTGTGCATATATTCTGATACTGACTACTTCAACGGTGTGAGGTCAGAATCCATTGGTGAACTTGCGTGTTTTTACTTTACAAAAATGCTTCTTTTTCTGTATTATGTCATTACTTTGATATCTGTCCATAGATCCATGTGTAAGTAATGTTTGAATCAAAGCAAACAGTGGGAATCATTTTTTGTAATTTGGAATTGAAAGCCCTGAATTTTCTCATTGCAGCAACAACCCTGACTTTAGCCATGTCTGAAATAAATGCATTTGATGTACATCCTTTGAAACAGATCATTTCAAGTAGTAAAACAAAGATGCTGATTTCTTGTACATCTCTGACACAAACTTACCACATTCTGATGTACCAACACATGTGCGGATCCTTTGGTCACAGAGCAGGTTCTTCTTTTATCATTGTCCAAGATGAAACATTGAAGATCCCCAGACTGAAAATAGGTCAGCAAATTGCAGCAGCAAAAATTGATACATGAAAGAAAAATCCAAGCAAGATTGTAATAAATAGGGGATACTTAAGCACAATGCATCCAATGATTTCCCCATCTTTTGAGAATCAGCAGTCCTGTCGTTTCCTTCAACACAGGACTTCTGGTAAAACTTTGGGGCTATGAAGACATGATAGCATGACATGAAAGTAGTGTATTTAGCTCTGTGGCTCAACAGTGAAGTGGAGAATGCTGCAGGACAGATCTGAAAGATTTTAGACACTTGGGATCACCGTTAGAATATGTTCTGAAGTGGATTACAGCTGCCATCCTCTGAAGGTGTAAGCAAGAAACCTTTAGGAGCTATCATTCAAGTCTATAGTCAGTGAGCATGTGATACTTTAAATATTTTCCTTTAAGTAGAAATGAATGGAAAGCAATTATTATGCTATGTGAAAGATATATTTTGTGTGTGTATATATGTCTGTGTATGTATGTGTGTGTGTATATATAATTTTATTTACTGCATTGTTGAACAGCACAGAGACATAATGCAGGGAATAGCAGATAACTTTATTTCCTTAGTTCATATGCTGAATTTCACCTTGAGGTTTGTAGCATTTATGACATATGCAAAAAGTCCATTAAGAACATTTGTGCTCTTGAATGCGGAGAGCAGCGCACATGAACATGTAGTTTAAAGCAAGCCTATGTATTAGTGAAGTGAAGCTGTGGATCATTTCAAGATCTGCTCATCCACAAGCTGGCAAACTGCGAGAGCACAGTCAAAGGTAACAAGCCACTCCTCTTTCTGGCCCATTATTAAACCAGACAAAATGTAAATCTTACATTCTCATAAAGCTCATGTTGTGTTATTGAGTCATAGGCAGTGGGTTTGATTAGTCACATTATTATATTTGGACCTTGTTAAAAAAATGCACGTTTTTTTTCTTGATAGCTGCACACTGTGGGTCCCATTCTAGTTTTGTAGACTCAAGGAACCACAAGTATCCCTCCATTCTGGGAACGCAGTGTTCTAGTGGTATAATAAGGTACTATCAGCTCTTATGATGGTGCCTAACAGCTTTGTAGGTGAGCAAAGGATTTTGAATTCTATGATGGATTTTATAGGGAGCCAGTGCAAAGAAGCTAATACAGGAGAAACATTTACTTTCCTGTTAAGGGTCCCTGATGTCTTGTTGCATTTTTGACAGTATAATCAGAGACGACCTATTATTAGAAGCACAAATCCCAAATGAATGATGAACATATATCTAAGAACCTTCAAAGCGTAAAACTTCTCTGGTTCAGACATTTTCAATCAATCAAACATTCTCAGTCAGATTAATTATTAGATTGTTTTGCTAAGACATTTGGTGTGTGTGTGTGTGTGTGTGTGCGCGTGTGTGCGTGCATGCATGCTCCTCCACTTGAGTTGGGGCTAATGTATTGTGTGAAATGTCTCCTTTGAAGTTCCTCTCCTTCAAAATAATGAGACTCTTCAATTGCTTCACACAATCAACTCACTTTCCTCTCTCTCTCTCTCTCACGCACACACACACTTCCCTCTCGGTTAAAATCAAATTTTCTCTCCTTTATTATTGGAACCGCTTCTTTCTTTACTGGTCTCTCATTATTTTTCTCCCACCTGCCTTTTTGTCATCCTCACACCTCAATTTTTCAAAGGCTTCATTTCAATATGCTGCTTCAAGAATGGAAGAGAATACATTCATCTATTCAAGTAGATTTTCTTCTGAGATGGCTACAGTTAGATGGACACATGTAGTACAGATAATCATGCTACTACTAAAAGTAATATTCATATAGCAGTTTGCAAAAGGAAGGTACAAAATGCTTCACAAAATAAAAAGAAGCAACAATTAAAAAAAAGAAGATTAAAATAATGAGCAATTTACCAAATTAAATTAAAAAGTACAAATGCAGTAAGAAAAGTGTAAAGACAAAAAAATGCTATTAAAAAAATAATGAAAGTACATACAGTTTTAAAGTGCTTTGCAGATTAAAAAAAAAAGATGTAGGCAGCAGGATTGGACAACCAAGTTCACTGTTATCAAATGTGACATGTAGATTTCTTATCAATTAGCCTTAATGCTTGAAGACAAAGATTGTGGGAAGTCTGTTAAGGTTTTGTTTCGTGGCTTTCAATTTTTCCTGTTTTATTCTCGTTCTTGCCCCATGCTTCTTGTTGTTTATTCGCTCCCTGTCTCTGTGTTCCTGTTCTGTGTTCTCATTTAGGTTGTGCACATCTCCAGAAATTTACGCTACACGTCCGCGAGATGCAATTCCGCACATGAACGTGGGGGCAGTATGTCAATCTGACCGGCAGGTCAGCAGCAATCTCCTGTTCCACACACCAGCCCAGGTGGTGACGGTATGCAGTTGGTTTGCCAAACATCATTAAACGTAAAAGAAGAAGTAAAATACAAATGGTCTACAAAGAAACCACCAATATAACATTTCAAACTAGAAATCAAACATTATATTGAAGTATTATATGGTCTGAAGAATAGTAAAGCAATTAAAACTGTATAGGTTATAATATTTTCTGCCTTTGTTGCTTGTTACGTGATACCCCTGTGTATAGTTGTCATCTTCTATTATTCATTCTATATCATCAGTCTATTTTAGTCATTTTATGTACTTTTTTCAATGAAAACAAAACTGTTGTATTGTCTATCAGACAAAAGCCTTGTTTTTATTAAACACAACCTTTAGGCTACATGGTTAACCTGTGTATGGTGAAATTGAAATGTAATTTCCAAATTTAAAACTCCTAGATGTTTAAGAGTGTTGTGACATGGAACTCACATTTGAAATAAGGGTCCTCCATCGTGCAGCAAATGGTGTTACACATCTTCAATAAGCCGGCGTCGGTGCTCATTCGGCATTGGTTGGCTTTATAACCCCACTTATAACTACCACTCCGCCCTCATTGGTTTTGGATAGCACTCAATGTGGCGGACCCTCCGCGCAAACGGAGTGGAAGTAGGCAGGAGAGTGGAGTAGCAAGTACTTTTGGACAGGCCCTGAGTCCTGTTAAGAGATATATGTTGCGTTTTTGGACAGCAACCTTTGTACTTTTGGACAGGCCCTGAGTCCTGTTAAGAGATATATGTTGCGTTTTTGGACAGCAACCTTTGTACTTTTGGACAGGCCCTGAGTCCTGTTAAGAGATATATGTTGCGTTTTTGGACAGCAACCTTTGTTTGGACTTTGGATGCATTTCATGTAAGCTGTGAATTTTTTGTTGTGTTTAAATAAATCCTGATTTACTGGATGTACCCTGTCAAGTGTCTGCATTTGAGCCCACACCTCAGTTTACCTGCCTCTTGACTCGGCCAACCTGACAGAATCTGAACCTATGATAACTAACGGATTTATTGGAGTTTTATTGAAGGATACCTGATGTTCCTACCCAATGCTTAAGACTGAAACCAAGGGATCAGTTGTATAATGTAATGAGCAGATGTTTGGCCACTGTCAGCTGCTAAAAGAAGATAATTAAGAACCCTGATAAGTGTCTCAGTGCTACAGTATGACCCCGCTCTACAACCAGACCAATTATCAAGGCCAATTTATCAGAGGATTGTACCATTGCATGTAATCAATGAGTATCAATATTTGTAAGATCTTGAGCAGCAACAGGTGTAAATGATATTAGTGTGTTTTGGCAAAAGTCAGATAAGTAGGTTTTTCTTCCTAAAGAAGTGAAGTTGTGGACAACTTGTTGGGTCTCTTTTCTAATGTGTAACTTGCAGTTGAAATGAAAAATGCTTCAACTACCTTGGGTGGCATGAATTTAGTTTGATCTAGTAGGTGAAGAAAGCAACCCCTATTTCACACTAGGGTTTCCAAAGACAGCTAACAGCACATTAAGTATTCATCACACAGATTCTCCCTCTACTTTTATTCTGAATTTTACTTTACATATATTTATTGAAATGCATTTTCCTTCCCATTAATTTCTACTGATTGCAATTAGTGATAAAACAAAACATCGAAGAGCAGCCTGTATATCTGTAGTGAATACACAAGCTAGTGAATATGGAATGAAGTTTGGTGACCTATTATGCCCCTTGTTAAGTGTAATGGAAAATGAAGTGGTGCTTTTAAGTGTTTTTTTCTGTAATAATTAAAATGTTTTTTGTTAGATCTGGATGCAGCAGTTGAGGTAATTTACAGTGATTTCATAAAACTACATGAACAAGTTTAATGTGCTTTTAGAAAGATACATTAAACATGAATGTCATGTGAACTGTGCAGAGTGCAAGCAGGATTGAAGTGCCATGTTTCTGATTAATTCTGTGCCCACAGTAGTGCATACAAGAGCTTGAAGACCAGAAGACGCAGTTCACTGGGCTTGAGTACCACTCTGCCACTGGACTTCCTCACAAAAAGTCCCCAGACAGTTTGGATGGGTGGCCACGCCTTCTACACTCTGGTGCTCAACACAGGAGTACCCCTCCTGTTCACAATATACACCAACGACTGCATTCCCCGATGGAGAGAACTCTGTTGTGAAGTTTGGGGACGACACCATCATCATGGGCTGGATTTCAAACGATGAAACTTAGGAAGGCAAAATTGTAAAATTTTTATTAACTTTTACAGAGGAGCAATATAAGCATTCTGACTGGAAACATCACTAACTGGGATGGCATGTGCACGGCCCAGGACAGGAGGGCTCTGCAGGGAGTGGTTGAAACTACTCAGAAGATCACTGGTACCCATGTACTACGCATCAGGGAAATCTGTGAGGTGAGGTCCCTGCAGAGCCCAAAGGATACTAAAGGACAGTACCCATGCAGACACAACCTGTTCACACTGCTGAAGTATCTGCTGTTGGACCTCCAGACTACAGAGCAGCTTCTTCCCCCAGGCTATAAGACTTTTAAATTTATCTTCAGCACTGCAACATGCAAAATTTTCAGGATCGGCTGAGTGCAGAGGCAGAGGGCTGAGGTGTGGACCCAAATGCAGACTGCAGCCAGCGGAATGCAGTTCTATAAAAGATTTATAAGTAAACTGAGCAGGCTTACGCTGGGAGCACAGCGGTGAATATCCAAACAAAAGTTCACTCCAAACAAAAACATATTCCAAAGGGAAAAATCCATAAACAAAGAACAAGGTACAATCCAAAGGATAAATCCAAAAAGTGCAGGGACGGGACAAGACAGAACACCCAACACAGACGAGGACGTCACGAAGACTGAAGACAACTGATGACTTACATACACAGGCAAGCAAGCAGGGAGGGAGTGCGCAGGCGAACAACATGAGGAGCTACAGCAGAGACACAGTGAAACAGGGCCCTGTTCAGAAAACAGGTTCAACAAACTCTGAGTCTAAACCTGAACTCTGGGTTGAAGAACTCTGAGCTGTCAAACTCTGAGTTTTCCGTTTCAGAAAGGCCGATCAGAATAAGTTCAATCAACTCAGAGTATGTTGAGTCTGATGGAAGCGCGTGCGTGGGGATGAAAAAAAGCCATCATCAATGGAGCTCCAATACTACGATTCACCATGGCAACAGGTAAATAAAGAGCCTCCATTTTAATCGGGTGGAGCTAGAAATATGAATGCTGCCATGATTGGCTCAAAAAGGATCGCAGGATCGATACGTTAACAATATTACATTTTATAGAGCATTGCTCATTCATCATTTACCAGACTGGAATTTCCTTCATGATTGATAAAGTGCAGGAATTCTCCTCCAGCCTGTTATTCATTTTAAACAGCTACAGTCCTGTTTATTCAGCTGGAACCTGATGGGAATAAATGCCGGTGACAATAACGGAAGATGAAAATATTAATCGAACAGATTAGACATAGTTTAAGCTGCTCATGGACCTGTGATCGTAAAGTGACAGTCCGACTCAGCAGGCCTATTAATGATTTTTTTTGTAATGTAAAATGTTTCTAGGTTCATACTGACTGTGAAGTTTAAGACGTCTATGTCACAATCTTGCTCATTTCGTATTTTATGAAATGCTGTTAAAACACATTCCGACTATCACCAGATAATGAAAAACTCACTTTTAAACTACATTTAGCCTATTTGTTTCAGCTGCACCACAGTCATCCTCACTCAGAAATATTCATATCATATCCAGTTGATAACTACTATAGGAATGTTCAATCTGTGCGACTACAACATGAAAGGTCACTGTTTAGCGTAAGTTGCTAGGGTTTATCTGATCTCGCTCTCTGAAACCGAAAACCCAGAGTTTCCCCTCATCTCGGGCTCAACTTACTCTGAGTTTTCAATAAACCCGCTTTCTGAAACAACCCCCAGGACAGAGTGAAACAGCAAGGTAAACAGACAGGAAACTACAAACTGCATCTTACAACCCTGTTGTAAAATGTAATATAAAATTAACCTTTTATGTTGATGTTAGCAAACTTATTAGATTACACTTAGACATCAGTAACGTTACTGTAAGTGCTCTTGCATCGGTTGCTGTCGTGCTTTGTTGGCTAGCCTGACACCCAAGTTTCAAGCAACAGTATGTAACTTTTCTACCGTTGGAGAACGGCACTGGTGTTGATGCTCTGTCAACTTACACGATCCACATAATGTACAATAATGCAACATAACGGTGCAGGACAACAACACAGTGGAAGTGCAGTAACGTTTCTTACTACAGTCTAACTGTGATACTTAAGTGTTATTGTTATCACCCAATAAATTTAGCTATGCTGATATTGCTGAGCTTCTCGGGTAAAAGGTACACAAATAGTTGTTGAAAAGCTGTCAGCTAAATGCAGTCAATGTAATGTTATTGTAGTGGCGTGTATGTTTTCTATGCAGGCTTATCGGTTTTTAGCCTTGCTCTTGATTGCACCTCTGGAGCATCAAATTAGCTCCACCCAGATAAAACCCCCTCATTAGCTGAGCTTATTTAAAGCAGCTGTAGTAGCATGGCTGCCTCTTTGCTTTGTCCCTGCCCGTCTGTTGCTACATGAACCCTCTGTGATGTCTGGGTAGGTGAGTGATTAAAAACCTTGTCTTGTTTTCATTGTCTTTTCCCAGTGACTGAGGTTGTATGTTTTGCAGCAGTCTACTGCCTGCCTGTTATGTAGTTTGGCTCATTCCAAGGTTCCCTGTCTGGAGTGGTGTGATGTAGTGTTGCTCACAGAGCACCCTGTGTTAAGGTACGAGAAGCTTAAGGAGCAACAAGTAGAGTATGATAAATACCTGAAGTAATTATTTACTGTCTGTTAATATGTGTGTTTTAATTGTAGGTGGTCAGCTGCTGTTTTGCCTGATTTTAACAATTGCTGCTGGTACACTCTGGCTGTAGTGCCTCCAACCGGCACTCCCCTGGTTGAGTATGCTTATATTAGATATAACCAACTGGTCCATTGTGTTTAACTTATTATTCTTTTCAGTGGTGCTAGTGGTCAGCTTTTGGTGGAGGCTAGGCACGCTAGTGTGGGTTCCTTCACTGATTGTAGTGTTAACGGCACCGGGGCACGATTTAGTAGTGACACGATTTGCAGTGAGAACCGGTTTGCAGTGACCACTGACTGCAGTGAGCAGTTGGTGCACCCCTGGAGCACACCCATAGTTACACTGCCTCCCCACAGCTGGCCCTGGCCCACTCTGCCCTTTTTGTTTGGTTCAATAATCAGTAATAACTGGGAGTGTTAAAAATAAAATAACTTGTTTGCCAAAATTTGTAATCTTTCATATTCCATTGTAACTTGATTATTTGTATTATTCACCATTCTCTTTCCAGGCACTTCCAGCTACCGATATCAATAAGTTATTCTTTTGGAGCCACGTCTGTCTTGTGTAGCCTTTGTATAAAGGTTTAGTCAAAGAAGGAAAAAGAGCATTTCCTGGGGTGGAAGTCCCCAGGTGGTGTCGGATAGTTAGATTCTGGTGGTGGTGATTCCTCTTAGTGCCACCACCAGCTTGGCCACATTATCATGCAACGAGCATGGATTAGTTCAACATTAAGCTGATGAATATTACTGTAATGTTGCAGTTAGCCTGAGTTTCTAGCATTTTGTATGAAGATGTCCGTACTGTGTCGTTCTGTTTTGGCTCACTTGTTAGTTTGCACACGCTTGGTGTAACGGGCCCTGAGGTTGTACTGCAGTCGGGACTCGCAACCTCAGGTACGGAAGGTTGACATGCTAGCGAGGATACTAAAATCCATGGATGACAGCATCAGGCGCTCTGAAGGCGTCGGGAGTGAGGTTAACTCGCTGCACAGCCTAGCTGGCTACCATTGCATTGGAAGGTAGTGGTTGCAATCTAAAACCTCACTGCTAGAGGCCACTAAACTACAAATTGCCAACAAATTGCATGTGCTTTTTGATAATGGTATGAATATGAAGATATTCTTAGTCTCTATCTGAAGTTGTAACTCTTTTCTCAATGCTGAGTAGATTGTCTACCTTTATCACTTGTGTTGTGCCTTGTGTTTTTGTATCTGTTCTGTTTGTAATGCATCTCAGGTCTCATGTCTAAACTTCACTGTATGTATGAAGCAAGCATCAATTTGAAAAGTGAATCAAAAGTTGTTCAGTGTTCACATGATGACCTCTGACCTTGAATCTCATCTTGGACAACAGCTATGAGGCATTGCGGTAATGGAGCCGGGGATGAGATGATCACCAGCAGGCTCAAGTCCCTGTTCTTTGGCCTTTGAAGGCCCATGGTCACTCCAGAGAGGACAAGTACACTTGAAGCACCAGTGTTGTGTTCCATAATACTTCTACAGTGAGAGACATGCTGCCATGACAAATCCCAAAGATCAAATTATGGGACCTGTCAAAACATTTCTCCTTAACTCGGCAAGCAAATAAACATTCTTTGGATGTTTTATTTAACCACTTCCTTACTATATTTAAATTCTCAAGCGCTCTGGCTGTGGATTGTTCCTAATGTAATGTTTAGCAACGCTAGCTAACTTACTACTGAATGTAATGTTAATATAACCCTGTTTTGCTTTTTAATGATTGTTCTAGTGAAGAGACCTACCCAGCTGTAAAGGAACAGTATTGATCCTTAAAATTAATCTGTAGTCTTTTGTCTTTATATTTCACTTCAGTGAATAAAACCTTCAAATGCACAATGCCACTGCAAAATGTCTGCTTCTTTGAGATCGCTTTTTCCAAAATAGAAAATATTTCTCCAGGGACTGCAGTAATAGACAGTGGCAGCGCTGTTTTCGACAGTTTGTTGGATAGTAACTAAGGGGGTGTGGCTTAGCAAAGTGTCAATAGTCTGCTGTTTCCTGCGTTATAAATTGCTAGTGTCACCTTGATCAAAATGTATTATACTGGTTATCTGTTGAATAGTCTTACTGCCCAAAACATCTATGCATAACTTAATTGTACATGTCTATTAAGAATTTTTTTGTAAATGTGTTGCTCTCAGGTGAATCTTGACTTTCATTAATGAAGGTGGGTGTGTGAGAAGCATTAGATCAATCAGTTCTCTAAAATAACTCATGAACCTGCAATCTGGAAGCATATATAAGCAATACAATTTCTGACAATGGAAGAACAAGGAATTGATCAGGGTCAACACAAGTGGGGAGATAAAACTGAGGAAGAGTTAAGTTGATACACAGAGCAACTTTTAGAGCAATGCTGCTGGGCAATGTTGCCGTCAATGGTAATGAGTAAAGATTACCACCATAATCCCCTTCCTCCACCACCCGTCCCGCCCTGCCGCTATCCGTTCAAAACATAGTCGGACTTGCCACCAGCAAGATTTCCAAGCAACATTGCTCAAAAAGTTCCCCCATCTATCATCAGCTTTAGAGGCCAACAACATTGACAAGTTCCTGATGAAATAAGGGCCACAATTGTGGACCATGTTCTCAATCATGGCCTTACAATGGCCAAGGCTGGTCGAAAGGTGCAGCCAAATGTTGGGGGAACCATGTCTTCAATCATTTAAACGTTTCGTAGACAGAACAGGTATGTAATTCAACAATGTGCATTTTACTGTAATATTGTATACTTACTGTAATGCTTCATATGACAGTATTCACTTCACAGTAATAAATTTCAATACAAACATTAGGGCTGACCCCAAATAGTCGATTTGATGGGCGGAGCCTGATTTCACTGTCAATCTTACAGTCGAAGCTTCGCAGCGAAACAAGGATCATGCCATTTTGGCGATATGGGGGTGCTCAACGTCTGATTTTACAAAGAACTACTGGTTTTCTGTTAACATACAGCCTATTACAATACACATTTAAACTGAAGTGTGTGAATAAATCCAAAATTGTAACCCTAACCCTGGGTATGTGTGTAGTGGCAGGGGAGACTGAGCCCCAACTGGTGGTATGTCGAGCGAGGGACTTTCAGGTAATTTATCACCGTTGATGAACCACACAAAGAATATTTTACCGTTTTTAAACAGCCGGCTACTTGAAATAGACCCACAAGGAACCGCAACGTGCATGCAGCTGTCGGCAGCACGGCAAAAACTCTGCACAAGACCGGTGAATGGCAGACGAGAAAGAGAAAATGGTCAATAAGCCTCAGTTTAGCTTCGGCTCGCAATCGCCAAGCACAAAAACACATGATTCGACTATGGGTAGGACTTGACGATTCTGATTCAACTATGTAAATCCTTAGTCGGGCTCAGCCCTAACAAACAGTAAAGGCGTAACTGTGAATCTTAATAAAATGCTTTAAGAAACACACTGGTTGTTTTTCTGATGGACTACAACTGGACTGGAACAACATGACATAAAGGCCAATATTTACTTCTGCGTTGAATCTATGCTATATGTACGCCGTAGGTTTGCTGTAGCCTAGTCGCGAGACAGCAAGAACTGTGATTGGTCGGCTTGGTAGCATTGCAATTTCTTCATGCACCCAAGAACTGCTCTGTGTTTTGAAGCCTATTTTACTAAAGGCCACCAATCTACCCTTCCCACCAGCATAGTATGTCTGCTAAAGACTTTGCTAATGCCCGGGGTAACACGCAATGCAGCAGAGGCAGCTTTCTATTTGCTTGCAGACATTAACTGCTGATTCTGGACAAATGGTGGGTTTTTACCACAGAAAAACAAGTCATTTTGGAACATGTTCTTTAAAGGTGCGATATGTAGTTTTTAATGAAATCATCACATCGAGTGCTGTTTTGAAACGGCTCGAACGATCTCTTCCCGTCTCTTGAGATGCCTGCAAGCTGCCCCAGTAATGGCCAGTTTTGAAGGCAGCATCGATAGTGGCTTGATGCTCACTATTACCCATAAAGCATATAATACAATAAGACGAATTTGTACACAGATATACGTTTTTAAAAGTTTTTAGTAGTTTTCTCACTTCGATTTTTGAAAATCTAGCAAGAACTAAACACTGAACTATCATATTAACCTGTGACTGTAACCAACCAAGTTTGTTCAGTATGATTTCTGAGGCCCCTGCGATGGATTGGCGACCTGTCCAGGGTGTCCCCCGCCTTTCGCCCGATGTCAGCTGGGATTGGCTCCAGCCCTCCACGACCCTGTACGCAGGATAAGTGTTTGACGATTGATGGATGGATGGATGGATGGATGGATTTTTGAGGCGTCTGTTAGCTGTTTGGCTTTTCAATAGCTAGTCAGCAGCTGACTAGCTATTGATTGTTGTTGGACTCCGGAGCAATTGCACCGGTTTGAACCCAAACCCACTGGGGTGCCTGGCCAGGACAACATCCACGAGCCCAACCGGCAGTGAGCCTTTGCTACGGGGAATTACGACAAAAGTAAGGCAAAACAAACTACACTCTGTGACTCGTTGGTGTTCTCTAGTTGGCCCTCATCTATAGTTAAGAAACCCCTAGGTAATTTAAACTGAATTTGCAACATAATTTCCGACCATTCGTTCCCTCATTCTCGTAGAATCCTCTCCATCTAAAATATCAAACTGAAATTCCTGATCTTGGCTTATTACATATTCTGTTCAGTACCTTCTGGTTTGTTTCATGTTGACTGTTATTCCTGTAATATTCCCACATTTACTCCCACTGTTGTACTCCCTTTAGATAGTCAATAAATTTCAACTTGATCATAGTGATTTGTGTGTGTGTATTGTTTAAGCGTTCGGGGTCCCTGTACAGAGTATTCACCCTCAGATTTGAGACTGACTGATTGATTTAAGATAATTGAGCGATCATTAACTAACTGATCACTAGTGAATAATTGTATAATTATTAAAACCCATAACCAGGGAGTCCTGGAGGCCCTGGGCAAACGGAATTCAGGTGGTGCCCAGGATCGAGGAATTATGAGTTAATATTTCTAAATATTAATTTCATAAGTTTATTAAAAATCATACGTAGACCTGCTACACAGTATTCATGTTCAAAGCAATAAATAGCCTATTGCCTGTGAATATACAAAAAAATTTCTCTGAGAGGGAGGGTTAAGATTTAAGAGGAAGGGGAAATTTTAAGAGTAATAGATTTAGAACAACAAGGAAAAGTTTATGTTTAACAATTTGCGGAGTAAAATTTTGGAATAAACTAAATGAAAACCTAAAGCAATGCCCAAACATATTCCTTTTCAAAAAAAATGTACAAAGAAATTATTTTCAAGAGGTATTGAGAAGCACTGTAGTAAAATCAGGAGTGCTCCTTTGTTTATGTTTTTTGTTTGTTTGTTTGTTTATTTGGGGTTTTGTTGCATTTTCTGCTGTTTAGAATAAGTACATAATCGAGGTTAGATAAATAAATACTATATATATATATATACATACACACACACACACACACACACACACACACATAAAATCATAAAAATAATATGAAAATTGTTAATTGAAGGAATGTAAGAATTAAAGGGGTAGGAGTACATAAGTTTTACTTCTTCCTACTCATTTTCGCACATGTGATAGAAGGATGTTAACACAGGAAAGAAGGGTACTTTTGCTACTCATCTGTTGGGTTTTTTTCTACTATTTTTTTAAACATTGTTTTATTTTTTTATACTTTCTCTTGCATGTTCGAAATAAAGATTTCAATAAAAAAAAATTCAACTCAATGATGATGATTAGTTCAGTTAAGGTCAATGATAATAACATAATCATAACACTATCATAAAAGTGAGACTATCCCCTACTGCTGGTGATTGTCTTAACTTTGGCTAACTATCCTAATGGCTGAAGCGAGGTTATTTTGTCAGCATTGTGTTGACTAATCCCACGCTGCTGTGAAAATGACTTGTAGGCTACTTGTACTTGAGTATGAGTTGTGTACTCCATGGCCACCTCTGATCCCCATAAATGAGTGTGAATGAGTATACTGATTCACTTGCATTGGTACACTTATCCATGGCACATCCATGGCTCAGCTGGTTTGGGGGAATATTACAGTAAGTACACGTTATATGGAAGCATTGTGAATTGGTGAGGGGTGTCCGACCGATTTTGGTGGACCACCTTTGCCAAAAATGCCAGGGCTGATTTTTTGTCCCAGTCCAGCCCTGATACAAGTCTAGGTGGAAGCAGTACTCTACATTGTTTTCTTGTGTTTAGAAGTTGTATTAGTTATTGAAGATGATCAAATACACGGTTAAACCAATCACAACAATCACCATTTGTGTAGTGCTTCAGCTGGTCTAACCACATTCCTTAATCTCATTTTGATATAACTTGTGTTTTTATCGTTGAATATTAAAAATGAACATTGTTATTAATAGTAGGTGGGTTGCGGTTGGGTAATATAGAGTGAAGCTTCTCCCCATTGAGAGTAAGGCAATAAAAGGCAATGTAGCCTTTGTGTGGGTGGATGATTCATGGATACATGCGGATTCAGATAATGTCAGAGCCAATGCGCGTATCACACCAATTCAACTGTTTCAATCGTGATATGATGAATGCAGCTGGTAATGTCAAATTATTATATCAATAACAGCATCCTCTTTATTAAATACTAATTTGATGTATTTCATGTTATATATATAAATAAAATATGTTTGTGTTAAATAAATAAAAATGTATGACATCCGTACCTTGTCACATTATGCCACGTTGTAAATTTACTTAAACATAAATGTACAAGTTGTCATGAACACTGTTATGCCGATCAAACAGAAGTAATAAAATACAACGGTGAGCTGTGACAAAACACTGGACAGATG